TTTATCAGACATTCAAATATGTAAGTAGTGAAGGTGATAGAAATATACACTAATGGAGAACTGAGGCTATAATTTGAGTACACACAGAGCCTAAGCTATTCAATCTTTGTTATGGAAGGGTAGGTGAGTTCTCCAGCTCTATAGTGCAGAGAAAAGGTATGGATCAAGGGGAGATGAGTGCTAAGAGTTACATCATATTCTTAAGTCTGCCAGGCATAAAGATTGCAACTGAGGTATAGGTAGCTATCATTTGATTTTGTGTTATCACATGACTGCAACTTTTTCTTTAGAATGAGCTCTTGGACAAGACATCCATGTTTTTATGACTCTTGCAGCTGACCACAGTTTTGAAATTGCTGTGGCCAGAAGGAGCTCCAGCTGACTGATAGTGGAGCAGGCACTGAGAAGCCACCAGGCTGTGTAGCAGTGAGGTATGGAACTAGCTATGCCAATGTCTGCCTCAAGACATGAGAGCTCAGGTCTCAAAATCGCCAGAACCTGTGATGGAACTTCATTACTCAGCTGATCAACAGGTGGAAGAGAGAAAAATAGCATGAAAAGGAGGGTGAAGAATTGGTTTTCTAGAAGGTATATGTGTGATAAAGCCTGATCCTGTCTGAAGTTCAAAAACCATACTGGAAGAAAAAAAAGCCATCCAATTTCACATTTGGAATAAGAAAATGTGAATGTAAGTAGGTCTTTTCTCCAGCATGTGCAAGACCATCCAGACCATCTTAGTTCCTGACACACCTAAATTCTTAAATTTATACTTCTCAATTCTTAAATTTAATTCTTAAATTTATACTTCTCAGTGCCTCTAACTGGCTCTGTTAATTCCAAATTCAGAGAAAACAGGGCTCAAATGGCTACTAGTACACAGACACAGCTGTCATCTCCCTTCCCTGCCACAAGATTGGATCAGACACCAAGAAATGACCACTATTATTTCCTTCATTGCAAATTTAGTGAAGGAGTGGGATACTAATCAAGCCATATTATAGTCAGGACGATAGGACCAACAGCTAAGAGAAGTTTTGAACATGCAATGATCTTCAAGGGCTTGTAGCACTGCCTATTTTCAGTCTTAGTTTACCTTCAACATAATGTGGGAAAATAAGCAAAAGGGAAGGTTTTAGCTCTCGGTTTCCTCTTCAAAGAGCTTAGCTGTGTTAGCCTGTCACTTGTGGCTCTTTCTTCTTTGTACACAAAGATTGGATTTGCCATAAAACAAAAGTCAATTTTTGCTTTGTACAGACTTCACCTGAAGAAATAAGGTCAGAAAAAGCAACACATAAATGAAGCCACTTGCAATAATGTTTGCCTGCATATATATATCCTAAATGGGAGGCAAATATGACAGCCTCCTTCTATTGCTACTCTTGGTGGGGTAACCAGGGAGGACAGGCGTGGGACCTTTCAGAGGCATGAAGATGACTTCTTGGCATGGTTCAGAAGCAGCAGGAACAAAAGTCAGCTTAACCATCTTTAATAAAAGCTGTGCATAGCAAGCACAGTCTCAACCATAAGCAGCTTTACTCTGCAATCATAACACAGAGAGACCAGAAACAGCACATACTACAGAGACCAAGTCTCACTTTCAGTACTGATTCACAGGGGCAAATGAGGACAAAATTAATGTAAGTAGGGGAGAAAAACTGACATTGCTGTGGAAACCATTTAACTTCATGGCATTTTAAGTCTAAACTAAATTCCCAGCAATGAATCAATGCAGTTTTGTGTTATTCTACTATTGCAGCCAGCCCAGAGTGGGCCATGGTGACAAATACATTCCAGGCTATCTCCATGAAGCAGAAGCCCCTACTGTTTCAGCCAAAATGCCTGTAGTGACAGTATATGCTTTATGTGGTTCAGCTAGCACTGGGAAACCTGATCTCATAAACTTTGTCAGCATGAATTATGTCTTTATTATATTAAATGGCATCTTGGCGTTTGCCCATCTACCACATCACAGCTCAGCAAACACATATACAGGCCCCTCTGCCAGAGCATGCAGGCATGGGGGCAAAGCTGTGGCTGTTGTGAGGCCTCCCATCTCTGTGCCTGTCCAATTTGGTCATGATTGACATCTCAGCTGAGATGTTTCATCAGTGTAACTTCTCCCTTCCTGCCTCATTCTTAAGCTTTCAGAAGGTAGGCACTTGGTCCTGTGTCTGTTCAGAGGAAGCACTGTGACCTACACATCTGCCCCTGACCTTCAGCCTGATCAATAAAATTACAAATTGGTCTTTTCTTATCCTCGACACTTTAGTCATAAAATCCCTATTGAGATGGAATGAAACACTGAACTTTATGTCTAGGCATCATGAACATGTTTCGTAGCAGGGGAGAGACTGGCAGTATTTCAGCCATCATATACAACCCTCTTTCACTCTCTGTGCAGCAATCCGGTGTGTGATATTTGAAACCTGTAGAATGTAATTTTTGGTTCTATATTCACACAATTTCCCAACTATTCCATAACAGCTAGAACCCTAGTTTGCTTTAACAACACTTTTTTACTACCATGCGGGCTTTCCCCCTTTGGTGATGTTCAGGAGGAAGAAGGGAAGAGGCCTCATTTCTCTCAGACAGGAACAGAGATGGTTTTGGGAGAGAGTCAACAAAGCCAAGTAAGAGTGTAATGCTAGATGGGTGCACAGTTTTGGCTGGTATTTCTGTTGCCTGATGTTTTGTCCCTGCAGGGGACTGCCTGTAGTGGCAAGGAGCATGAGAGGACATGGGAGGGCACACACCAAGACTCTCATCTTCTTAAGACTGGCATGGTGTTGGCAGACCTAAGCTTGCATTTGCCCTTTGCAATATGCAATACTTGGGTCTGAAAAAGCATGTAATGGGTGGGGGGTTTTATACCAACAGCCTTTATCATGAAATCAGAACATAGCTCTAAATGTGCTTGTTGTGTTACTTTACACCTCTTGCAGAGCAATTCAGAGGGAAGAAGGAGGTTGTACTGCACAGTTTTGTGCACAGCTTGAAAAATCTATTCCATCGTTACCATGAAATAGCTGTTGGAGCCACATGCTTTCTTCATGCTGGCAAGAGTGTTGTGTATTTAGCATGCTCAGCTGCTAGTGGGGTTGTAAACCATACTTTTTACTCAGCTGCAGTGCTGTGGGATGGCCTTGAATAACCTCCTGTGTCACATCAGGGCTTTTCACTGTTGAAATGAAACATGACTGTGAATCAGAGGAAAGAAGAAAATCCTAACAGACTCTTCTAATTCCTTTTGGATAGCCAGGCAATTTCTTTTGCCAGGAAGGGTTGCCATCATGCACATCCATCCACAAAACCCAGAAAGCCAGATCCAGTCAATAAGGTGGACCAGAAGATCAGGAGTCTTTGGGTTCTTGAAAGCCCAAAAGGAGTGGTATGAAAATAACAGCATCTCCTATGTGGCTCTTTGATGCTGCTGTGTGCTACCTAACACTGCTGAGTCTGCAAACAATTTTCTCTGCCTCAGCTTGCAGGAGAGCCCAGAAACACTGTGTTGGAATCACACAGCACATGTTCAAAGCAGGCAGGTGGCAGGTTCAAAGTGGAGCGAAGAAACAGCTCCTTTATGTAATGCACAGTTAAGCTCTGGAGTACCTTTTCTCAGGATTTAATGGGTGCTGGAACTTCATGTGAGTTTCAGAATTAATCCAGTACAATCCTGGAAGAAGCAAACATCAGAAGCTACATGATGCAGCTCTGCTGCTTGTATTGTACAGGAAGTTCTTAAGCCAAAACTCTCTGGAGACTGGAAGAATATACAGGGCAGAAGTTGCTATATGATAGTCCTGTTCTCTGCTCTTACCAAGGTACTACTGCTGGCCACTGTCAGTGAGGACTTGACTACACAGAATGGATGCCTCTGCTGTTGCTGGTTTTACATAATCTTACATAATGCAGGATGTAACTACAAGTCTTCTAGGTTTACGTGCTTCCACACAGACAAACCCCACCTTCAGGAAATAGAGGCTTTTCCTAAAGAGACTTTCAGTGAAATCAGCTTTTAATGACACTGGATCCCTATATCTCATTCCAGAGATGGGACTTCCATCTTGACCCATTTATCCTTTATACAATTTGCTGGATGATCTTTGTGTCATACCAGAGATCAGGTCTTTATTATAATGCATGCTGCAGTACCTTATTTAAAAAGAAAAAGAGGAGTTGTTCTTCAGAAGAACTAGTTGCTGAAAAAAGAAGATAAACAGGACAAGAGACGCAGCAGAACAGAGAGGGAGCACAAGTTGAGGAAAAGTTGGTCCCATTGGAATTGCTAAAAAACCAGTTCACATCTCTCAGCTCCCAAATAATGCCACACAAACCTCACATATGCCAACTGGTACAGACCCAGGCTCATTTTAAGCCCTACCTCAGAACACAATTTTTTTCTATTTTATTTTAAAATGCTTACTGATTTTATAGCTGAGTGCTCTTTCCTCTGGTGAAAAGCAGTGCTGTCTGACACAGGACAACAGCTCAGCTTTTGGTGGTGGTTATTGCTCTGCATTACTGAGACCATTTTCTTCCCTTTTGCTATGCCATTAAGGACTGAAAGGGGTGAACAGTTAGAGGATAATACACCATTAGGGACCAGCCCTAGCTGCACAATACGCTTCAAGTACACCGATATTCACCTTCCAATTTCATCTGTAGTCCATGCTCTGTAAAAGAATACCAGCACTGATACAACTGAGGCTTGCCCAGACATAAATTCTATTGGAAGGAGTGACATGAATAGACCACCATGATTTTAGCAGAACCAGGATTTTTTTTTTTCATAGTCCAACTTCCCAATATGTTGTCTCATGTCATATTTGAGCATGGAACTTGAATAACGCCGTATGACATAAAATACTCTGCATACCAACAGATTTGTGCTGGACTTGATCTAGTCATTCTGACTTCTTTATTCATATGGTTGAGCTGTGCAAGAAATAAATATCTCTGGTACCAGATTTAGAAGGAGTGTATTTTATTGCAGACAAGAAGATGTTATCTGCTCTGGTGGCAGTATGGGGGATTGATGGCAGTTTACAAAATGAAGAAACTCGGTATGTATGTGTTAATCTCTGATAGGCTTATCGCTGTACTAAACTGCTTCCATAAATCGTAGGCTTAATGCTGCTTTCAGGTACACCAACACACACCCAGTAACTCCTGGAGAATTTTAAGATAGATAAATTACAGCAAAATTTGATCCCTTGTTGTGTCAGTATTTTTTTAACGCTCATCTTTTCAATAGGTGGAACACATAAACACTCGAGATTGTCACCCAAATTCAGCCTTGCTGGAAGGCAGCTGAAGATATCCACTGAATATAGCTAGGAGGGGCAGATTCCATAAACCCATTATATGGGTTGATTTATGTGTCATTCATTGTGCCTGGGCTTGAGGTGTATATTTGCCTTGTTTTTACAGTATATGGCTGGTCAACTCATAATGCATGTTGTACTCAAATCTGTGGATAAAATATTAAGTTCACAGAGGAAAAATAAGAACAGAATTTATACTTCATTCATTTTTTCTTGTCTGCTGTTTCTGCACTCTCAAAAATCAAAAAGCATTTATTGTATCCTAATCTACATCAAGCTGTCCTGAAGGAACATTCATTATTCTTTTATTGTCAGCAAAACACATTGAAACAAGGATATTAAACATCTGGCCAACATACATTTATGTGGCCCAAATGGCATATTCAAGTTCTAAAAATGTAAGAATTTCTTTGGAAACAAAAGTAGTTTTACCTCTGACTTGGGAGAGAAGCTATAAAATATGAGCTGTATAAATAAAACAGTGTTCTCTACCTGAGACAATGTGTAGCATAAAATATTACCTGGGAAGTGCAAACTCCTGTCCTCTACTACTAATCTAATTTCAAGTCTAATGAGGGCACTTAGACTTAACTAATTTGCTGCTAAGCCGGGGTGATTGACAAAGAGACAAGCTTAAGACTACAGAGAAGACAAAAAATTATTATTGCCAAAAAAAACCCAAAAAAACTTAAAGAACAAAAAGAATAGAGATTTACAGAAGAAAAAAAATTAAAAAGGGCAAAAATGTGTGGCCATAAGACATGGGCTTGCTTTTACCCCAACAGAGAGGTCTCACCTATGGCTAGTAGTAGGACCAGAGAGGGAGATGTTGTTTGCAGAGGTGTCAGAGCAGACACAGCCCAGCTCCTGTGAGGCTGGTGTAAAAAAATAATGAAAATCTGGAAGGTAAGTTCCCAAACATCAGGTCACAACCCTAGTATCTCAAGGTTTTTCAGCCTCAGAGAATTTTCCTGCTGCCAGCACATTTTGGGAAAGAAAAGTGATTTTCTGCAGCAGCGGAAAAAGGCAAGAAAGGCTGAAAAGTGGGGGAGGGTGAGAAGGATCAGTGGCACTTTGGTTGTCATCAGTCTGATGCACAGGATAGTAGATTTCAGGAGATGTGTGAACAAGAGAGGTTGGCAGTGAGATTTCAGATTTATAGGAGATGACAGGTAATAGGCTCTGTCACCTCTCCTCCACATTTCTTACCATTTCTCCCTAATGCCCTTTACTCCTTTCTTACTCCTTGGAGTACATGGGCTCCATTGCTAATTTGCTATCTTCCCTAAACCCCACAATCCCTTCTCTCTACCTGAGCAGCCTTCTGCCTACACATAAGTCCTCCATCCCATCTATTACCCATCTGTATCCTATTCCACTCTTCAAAACAGCTCCTCCAGGTGGCAGAGATTGCTGTCATAGAAATGGAGGTACAGGGGCAGGGCTAGGAAGGTGGAAATGGTAGAGGAAGGAGAAGGGGGTACAAGTTCAGATGATGATTGCTGTTGATGTAAAGGGCAAAAAAGGCAGTGTGCAGATTGGGCCTCTCCAGCTAGGAGAGAAAAGGCACCTGGTTATCCTTCACGAAGGTTTGTCTTGTTACTGCTGCATGCCTCAGGGCAGTCTAAATCACTGTAGTATGCCAAGTCAATTGGGGATGGGCAGGGGCAGGTCTGCTCCTATCCAAAACACATGTGGGCATTGGAAGTCACATACCCTGTAGCAGCTGTGGGGGGCTGCACCCTCCCTCCTGCCACAGGACCCCAAACCCTGGACAGAGCTGGCTGGCAGACATGCAGGGTGCCAGAGAGGGACACTGTGAGGAGTGCTGAACAGGGAAAGTAAGAGATGTGGATGCTGTGCCAGGTGGGGTAACTGGTTTGTCTCATGCATAAGGTGCACCGGCTGGCAGGGCTGCCAAGCCCCTGCCCATCCAGGGATCAAAAAGGCACAGACAAAACACCACTCTGGAAGAAGACAAGGCTGAGAATGAGGTTAGAGTCACAACAGCCAGACATATAATTTCCATCATTCAAAACAGTTCTGCACCTTTATTCAACATGATAGTTAAGAAGCTTGGAAATAATCAGGAGGAAAAAAAATCTGTGACATTATCACAGAATTCAAACATCGATGGCTGCCTGCTAAAAAACATTGCCACTTGTTTTGTTGGGCAATGGAGGAAACCTTGTCTCTTTTCTTCTTCTGTTTTAAACTAAGATAACTACTTAATGTAATCTTTCAGATGCCTTGATAATTTGGCATTATAAGTTGATGTAAGTATGTGCCCATCTTACAAATTCAGCTGGTGTACTTTTCCATTCCAGAGTAACTAAATTATTGTAGTGTAATTATTGGAGTCCAGTTTTCAAAAGCCCTTATCAAATGGTTTAAAAACTTGCATCATACTTTCCAGAATACCTCCAGCACTTCTGACAGGAGATGTTCGTGAGTAGTGAGGGAATGGCTACTATATAAAGTAACACAAGTTTGATTTCTGTGGGACAAATTAAAAGAGGATTACAACAACAATAGCTATAATTATAGTAACAACATCATCAATAACAATGATAGGGTAGCACTCTTTTAGCTGAGCTCCCGTAACTACTGCAGTGATGCTGCTGCCCTCAGCTGCCCATCCTCCCCTGTGACAGAGCCTTGCTGTCACAGAAGCTGAGCCAGTGGAAGGGGATATGTGTCTGGGTGCTTGGCTGTCCCTACACACAAGGGACATGCAGGGCTGAGCTTTAGTACACATCTTCCAGTGCTGCTCCAGAGGTAACAGCCTCCAGCAGCGAGGTGGGCTGGACAGCAGGGCTGTCAGGGCAGTGCCCAGCACATGAAAATCGGAGCTGTTGTGAGAGGAATGAAGATGCCTGTGCCATGTTTGAATATATGTGTCCCTACCATGGGATTGCCACCCTGATGATGTCTGACAGGCTTTTCCATTGGGCAAGGCACATTTTTTGGCAAGGGGAAATAAGTATTTCCAGTGAAGCAAAATGAGTAACCTTTTGTTAACCAGTAAGAAGAACAATAGAAGCTTAAGAATTAAGTGATGCCTCCCCTGTTTCAGATCATAACCAGGTATCGGTGCAGAAATTGTTGCCCTGGGGCTGCTGTGTGTCCCCTGCTCCTGGGGTCAGCCATCACCCATGAGCTGAGGCCAAGCCCTGCCCATCCCTTTGCCTGCAAAATGTCCACAGCTCTTCCTGTCAGCTGCAAACAGCTGTTGCTAGGGAACTGCGAAAAGTCAAAAAGACAGCAAAGGATGAGGGGAGAGCAGCAGCAGAGGGATGGGCAGGCCGCAGCTGGTGAAGGGGGAGGTGAAGGGGGAAGGGAGGCAAGAGGGTCAAGAAAAAGGAAGAACTGAAGAGCCTGGGCTGGGAATTGATCCTCATCTTGCCACAGAGAAACAATTCCCTGTCCCTTAAGGACTGTGTTTTCTCATAATCACTAAATGGCTTCCCTTGATTTTGTTTGTGTTTGTGTGTGTGTGTTTGTTTTTAACCTCTCTAGGACAGAGGTAGAATATCTTTTTATTTAGTGTGCTTTTGCATTATACTGTTTTGTAATTAATTATCACCTCACCCTTCATCCCTTTTCTCTTTTAATTAAAAAATTGCCACTCTTCCTTCAATTTTCTTCACTTTTAAGGACTGTTGTTCTTTTCCACTGAAGCATTGCAATTGTAAATATACCTCATCTGGTAAAAGCAGCTGGAACTAAAACAACAGTTTTCGTATTTTGTCTTGAAATTTTCCTTCTTCCTGGAATTAATGGGGTGCTGACAGATGTTTTTTCTCTGGGAAACATCACGGTTATAAAGTTATTCACCACACAGTTACCTATGCTCCAGTCAAGATCTAAGGGCCTGTTTCAAAGCCAGCTGAACCCAGCAGCAGGTTGTCCCCGTGCAAAACTAACTTTGGATTAGGCCATATCACTACAAATCCCTGATGACTCATAGGTCATATGTAAGAAATCTTCATCTGGTGGAATTTGACTGCCCACTGAAGTGACTGAACAGGCTTAAAGCTGGTGCAGGTCTCTTCATGGGACCAAACCACAGCTCAGACTCTGGCATTAAGTCCTCTCAACAGATGCCTCGACATCTCTGCCACTGCACTGTACTGAGTGGGTTGGAATGTGATTAAGTGATGGTGTTTGAATTAGGGTGGATTCTAATTGTGGGCAGTATGAAAGCTGTCTGAGCAAATACATCTAAATAAGGAACAAAATTATATAGTTCATTGCCAAACTGAAACAAGGAAACAAAATATTATTTGCAATTAAAAAAAAAATATTAGCAACATCATGTGGACAAAAAGGTTGGTAACAAGATATATATGGATAGAGTCATTAAAGAAAATAAAATAAGTTATGTGTGGAATTTCCAAACTCAACTGTGGTTGCAATACCTTCCAAAGAAAGCCATGACATATAGTAAAAAGCTGTTTTATTGGTTTCAAATACTGCAATGTATAATTGACTTATGGCAGGGGTGGGTTATGAGATAGGCAGTATTTCAGTTCCAAACATTTGGTCCAAAATCAGCCTTGGTTAGCAGTGATTGAATGTTATTAGTGTTTGATGGGTCTCTGGTGGAACCTGTGAAATGCGTCGGAGGTTTCAGCGCACTTCCTAGTGGACAGGTGCCCATACCACTAAAACCACAGCTCTTTGGAGCTCGTTACACTCACTCTCATTGGCAATCTCAGTGGAGAGGCTCACGGCTG